TGGACAAGTATGTTTATTGTGGCGTAACTATTTTTTGATCATCATTTAACTCAAAATCAATTTATAGTCTCGGAACCAACTTTTAATAGCAAAGCTCCCATATCTACTTATTTAAAAATTTACTTGCTTATTTTAGCTATAGATCCTTAAATATTAAAGAATATATTCTAAAGATTTCAAGCTTTGTCCAAATATCTGAATTATTGCCTAAAACTTCAAAATCAAATTATCATTATTGATTAACATTAAATAATTAAAATTTTAAAACAAAGCTTTTATTTAAATTTAATTACTAAATTTTGATAATAGAAACTACTAAATATAATAGGTAATATGATTTATTTAAAAATTTATAAGTAATTCTAAAGAATTAAAATTCAAAAAGACTAATATGATAATTAGGGTTCCACAAAATCAAATTGAATCAAATATTTGACAAATCAAATCATATCAAATTAAAAATTTGACGAATCAAATTAAATCAACCAAACTGAATCAAAATAATTAAATATATATATAATTTTTTAAGACACAGTGAAGCATTTATTTATTAAAAAAATATTTTTATAATATAAATTGAAGAAAATCCTAAAATGGGTACATAAAGTAGAAAATAAAGTAAATGCTACCTAGCTTTCGTCAAAGGCATATTACCTTCTCCAACAAAATCAACAAGTTGTTTCATTGCATTCAATTCAAAAAATTAATTAAATTCACATTATAAAAATTTTTTTAATTATATTTTTTTATATTTTTATTTTTATATTTAATAATATACACACAATTGGAATTTTATATTTTTTTCAAAAAAAAGCACTATTATCACAATATTCTCTTTTTTATTATTATTATTAACTATTATTATTTCTCTAATTATACAAAAAATTTATACATAAAAAAAATTAACATATTATCAGATTTTAGCTAACTTTAAGATATATTATCATACAAATTGTATCACTTCTAAGTCTATTACGTTCTGGTGTAATTATATTGTCACTTTGACTAAATAATCATTTTACAGATGCACTAGTAAACAGTATTAATAAATAATCACACGCTATTGTAAATAATGTTAAATAATTAATTTCGTGATTTTTTCATCATTTCAATACATTTATAGTTCTTGATTCTGATGAACTATCAAAATTATTAAATAGTTTGTTATGTTCATTATTATTTCAAAAGTTTTAGGAATAGGAAATAAAGGATCTTTATCATTCCTATCCTTACTATCATTAAAAATAGCAGATATTGAAGTTGAAAAATAAATAGAATAATACTCATCAAATTTACCTACAAATCTAATTTTAATAATAAAAATTTTTAAAATTTATAATTTATCCAATTTTTATAGTAAAAATTAATTTACTTACAAATTTTTTGCTTTTCTATAAAATATATTATCATCATTTTCTATTCAGCTTCAAAAATATTCAAGCTTTCATCATGGATCAATAATCATAAAAATGTAATATACTGGTTCAGAAATTTTATTGTAATATTCACTAAGCTTATTTCATGTTACCTTTGCAGCTGTAACTAAAGATTTTGAAGATTTTTCATCCTTCATTATTTTCATATAGTTCATTAAATGAATATATTAAACTTATAGTAGGATAAATTGATACACACATTTCAGTTGAAATTCTTGCAAATTGCTTTAAAAAAATTACAATCTTCTCAAGAGATTTCCAATCTAATTGAATTAAGCTAATATCTCTGATAAATGAAAATTCATCATTTAAAACGATCTTATCAAAAACCTAATTATATAAAATCTTTAATTAATTATATATAAATCTTTAATAATTTAAATTTTAACTAAAGTACTAACCACTTTTAAATTCAAAGAACATTTAATCATTTCATATATAGAATTCTAATGAATTATAATGTCTAAAATAAGAAACAGATTTTAATGCCATTAAATTTGAAATTTCTTTGAATTTTTGTCATCATTGGAAAGAAGAATAACATTTAATAATAATATTTCCGATTTAATCTTTTTCACATTTAAGTTCTTTTAAAGCATATTGAACTGTAAGGTTTAAAATATGAGCAAAACATCAAATGTGATTATTTTTAACTAAAAAATTAATATTATTTTCTAATGTTTATAAGCCAAACTGTATAAATATCATGTTATTATTAGGAGCATTATTAGTTGTAATGCAATTAATCTATAAATTAATTTTAGAAAAAAACTCTCTCCCCTATTTTACAAAACCAAAATTTTCACAAGAAAAATAAAAATTTAAAAGTTCGTTTTTAACAAAAAATTAATTAATAAACCCAGTATAAAGAAGGTTTCCTTTGTTTTACCCCACCTTCTTCACTACGCGAGAGAGTTATAACATGTAAAGGCACTGCAAAACAACAAAAAATTAGTGATCCTAAGTTTGTTCCATACGTCGCTCCAAAAGCTCCAAAGGAAGCTATTATTTCTATCAGCTCCTTCGTCTTCTTCAACCTCAACTTCTGTCTCCACCAACTTAGATTTAGAAATTGTTCAAAAAGTTTTTGGTTCGCTACCAGAAAAAACAATGGATTTTGAATTCTTTGACGTATCTAAAATTGCCACTCCCAATAAA